AGTGCATTTCCTAAATGATTTTGCAGTTATATTTACACTGAATTTTGAGGAGTGTCAACTAGACTTGTTATTTTACGGCACTGAGTATAATTTAACTAGTAAAGCCACAGTAGTAATATGATCAGTATGAAATATTTCATAACATAACACTGATATATTTAAAACTTTTTTGTAATTTTATTCTAGAACACATATGCCTTCATGGCAATGAAACAACAAGTGAGCAAATGCATGATCAGAAAGAAGACAATTCATTATTTTTTTTAACTATTTTTGTTATATTATAGAGCTTAACATAGGAAGTATAACAATGAATGTAAAAACTAGAAAAAGTGTAAGAGATTAAGAATATAAAAAAAGCATAAAACTTCTATTCTTGTTACTTTTAATGTGTTTTTAATTTTTAATAGAAGCTTAATGTTGCCACTTCAGAGAATTAAAAAAAAATGAATACTTATATGAGAACCAGCCTTGAAATCACTGTGAAAGAAATCAGAATTAACTCATCATCCAGCATTTTGTGATAAATTGTGAAGATTAAGAGGCATTCAGCTTAGCTAGATATTCATATTATTAGAAGTTCATATTATTGTTGTGTCTTCCATGTGCCTGCTATGAAACAATCTGCTCTTTGGAAGAATGGAATAGAAAGTTGTAAGGGACAAATCTGGTGGTCCTCCCCAGAATATGAAAAAAACAACTTCAGCTGTCAACTCAAGTAGATCATGACTGGATGACCTTGGTGTCACTGAACACATTAAAATCAGCTAAGATGGAACACATTGAGTAACTGGTGTTCTCATTCCCATACCACACAGCAGTAATTCCACTCTACACTTGTGCTTTGATACTTGCTATTAGGAAAGATTTAAGTGTCTACCTATGAAATTTTCTGTCTTGTATTCAATTTTATTGAGCAGCTAAATACTTGCATGAATATCAAAAATTTTTTTTTGGTAAAAGAGATTTAAAAAAAAAAAGGACATTTTCTATTTTTTCTATGTTCAAATATGCTAAAATGAAGTCCACAGAAAATTTTTTTTGCATTTAATCAGGGTGTACCAAATGAAGAATGATAATTTTCTTCTATTTTCCTGCTTACAAGCAGAGAACCTGATTCACAAAAATAATTATTTTCCTGGCTTCCTGTAAAACACTGTAATTGATCATAGATACAAACAGGACACATTCCAGATTTCCTGGAATTATTTTTAAAATAATTATTTCTTTTAACAATTGTATATTTACCAGCAACAATAATAAGGATTATAATGATAATTATGATAATCATAATGATAATAATAGATGATTTCCCTAAGTTAACCTGTTCTTTAAGGTTTTTGTAAAATGGAGCATATAATATGCACAGCTTTTAAATTTGGTAACTATATTTCTTATGAAGTGTGGAGAATTATATTGTGTTCATTAATATTTTGCTTGTAAATACAATATGGTTTCTCTTAATATATTTTTATTTTTTCATTGCCTGTTTTTGGAGATGGTAGGAACTAGACATAGTGAAGGAATCCAATCCCTCATCATGTGAGTCCCATGTGGTTTCGGTCCTAGAAGTTGTCCGGTTGATTTTAAAATATATATCTGACCCATGATAATGAATTCTAACAAAGGCATGTAAGAATAAAAAGTTTTCATAGTAATACTATACAAATAAAAATTTCAAACAATATCTTATTCAATTTTCCCTCCTGGATGCTTAAATTTTAGTGGTTAAGACAGTCTAAAAATAATAGATATTTTTTATAGTTCTACTGCCGACCCAAGCTACAAATCCTCAAAGACTTATTCAGAAAAAATAAAATCAAGCTCTTGAAGTCCTAAGTGTTCTTACTGAATAAACAACAAAACAGAAACACAACTACTCTCAGCAGAAAAGGAAACTTAATAAAACAGTGTGAATGAATAATGATCGGACTTACTTAACATGAGCAACAAGCATGCTGCCTATAAAAGTGCAAACGTTTTGAGCAAGTGGTGGTGCAAAACAATATTTTGACTATAAGAGCTCAGTAAATTTTCTAAAGACTTTCAAATATCTCTTGGTTCTCCATAGGAAAAAAGGCGTTTAGAGATAAAATAAATATAACTTTTGTATTGTAGTAAATATAAATGAAATAACAGACATTTTGCTTTACTTATGCTTGGTTTCCATGAAAAATAAAACCTTTCCTAGGAGATGATATTTTAGGAGGACAGAGACTCTAAAGATATTGGCAAACTACTGATGACTCTCATATAATCGTGTGACACTGATAAATGCCTGAAATCTTTGTGACAATGCCGCTTACATCTTAATGAGGTGTCTAATATATAGCAGCAGGGTGATGATTGAAAAAAAAACTTCTGTGAAAAGCAGATCAGCTCTTATATAGAAAGTTATTCAGAGCAACAGGTAAAGCAATGCCATTCCTTGAAATGAGAGTAATTGTGAAATTATTTTGTCCTACTAGTGTTAGAAAATAACACACGATGTTTTCCGTTCATTGTATATACAACCTTGGGCTACTCATCACAATAGAAATGTATATATGAACACATGTAAAAGTTGTTCAGCTTGCAATAATGTTTCTAAAATATGCATATTCTCTGCTTAGATCATGAAGATACCATTCAATAGTTCTTTTGTAAGACTTATTATTTGCAGAAGTCCTTGTTAAAAATATATCTTTAATTTGAACTTTATATTTGATCCTGCCATTGTAGTACTTTTTCAGTGGTATAGACATGATTCGGCTTTCCTTTACACCCATGAATTCCATGGTTTCTGTGGCATAAGCAGAATGTGAAATACATACTTGACACAACTACCAGAGGATACCTTATTTGGCATAAACCAGCTATGCTTTCTCTTCCTGGCTGGTTTTTCAGACTCAATATGCTCAACAGTCATAGTAGTAGAGGTCACACAGTTTGGGAGTCAGGATATACAAATAAAGCTGTAGTTCCCTTAAAGAGATGGAAATCACACCTGGTTACTCTTGACAACCCTTAAGCAACTAAGATACCAAAAGCAACCTTTACCTTCAGCTCCACTTTTGAATACAGTTTCAGTACAATCAGTGTTCATGTTTACTGAATTTTTATGAAAATGAGAGTTGTTAAATTAAATATTCTAGGTTTGGCTTACACATCTATTACACACCGCTATTTCAAGTCAAAACCAAACCAAACTAAACAAAAAAGAATGAACCAAACAAAAAATAAACTCCTACAGAAACACCAAGATTAAATTTTCTGTTTAAAAGCAAATTCAGTTGAAAGTATAGTTCAAATTCCCTAGCTAGTCTTTGAAACATTTGAACTCTGTTTTAATATTCCTAATTGAGTACCTTCTTAAACCAGCTAATCTTCCGATTATTTCATTTTACTTTTGCTGATATTTTCTGTAAAACTTTTCTTCTTTTAGTTGGCTTTACTTGAATTATTTTTTCAAGTAAAATCATTAATAACACCAAAAGAGAATTTGAATGAGATCAAGTTCTACCGAAACACTATTTCGTATGAACAATATGTTACCCTCTTCAAACATTTCAGAATATGCTGGTTCTGCTCTGCCAGTCTGTGAAAAGAGAATTTCCTTGAATGTCTTTCTTCAGAGACAATTTAATAAAGTATGTACTAAATATGTGTGTTGCAGGAATTGACTTTTACCATAGAGCTCTTTAAGTCAGTTAAAAATAAAGAAGATAAACTTATTTTAGTATTCATACTCCATACCTACAATAATACAGAGTGTATAAGAGATCCAATTATATTGGTTTCATACCATGGAATATCTGTCTGTATAGATAAACATAACTTTGTCAGTTTATTTTTCTACAATAATAGAAACAATGCTTAAGAATGGACTCTTGAATAATAGGTGTAATACAGCATACATATAATTATCATGATTCTCAATCTACAATTCTTTTCATTGTAATCATTGCTCTTTAGTATACATTTTTGTTCTATACAGTTCATTTTCATCTAGACATCATACATGAACACAGGTATTTTTGCATTTGATGTTTCCCTTAGCTTTTGCTATAATGTGCAAATCTACGATGATTACCAAGTTTTTGTGCCTTATCAGAATAGCTTCTTACAACACCTCCACACCCCTAAAAGTGAATATGTCACTGAATACACTTCTTGAATATACTTAACAAATTTGACTTGAATTCTGCAAGTCAAATGTTTAGAGCTCCACAATTTAAGAAGAACGAAGGTCCCTGAATGCATTCAGGGGAAGTTGACAAAGGTGGTGAAAGGGCTGGAAGGAATGAAGAGAGCTGAGTAATCTGTGTTTGTTTAGTTCTAAGAAAAGAAGTCTGAGGGGTGACATCATTGCTCTCCACAGCTTCCTAGAGAGAGGAAGAGGAGAGTTTCTTCTCCCTGGAACCCAGCAACAGGATGTGTAGGAAGGGTTCAAAGATGAACCAGAGAAAGCTTAGACTGGGCATTAGGAAGGATTTCTTCTACAGAGATGGTGATCAAACCCTGGAATAGGCTTCCTAGAGAGGTTGTTGATGCCCCAAGTCTCAGTCAGTGTTTAAGAGGTATTTGAAAAATGCCCTTCACAATATGTTTTAAGTTTTAGTCAGCCCTGAAGCTGTCAGGCTGTTGAACTGGAAAATCATGGCATATTAGATAATTCTGGTGGCAATCATGCCCCTGATAAGTTGCAGCTGTATAAGACAGGTGGCCAGCATTGGAGGAGAAGAAGCATGGAATATTGACCAACCACAAAAGAGTAAAAGGGCACACAGGTGTTATGCATGTGAGAGAAAAGTATAAAGAGTTAGGAGCAGAGGGGTATTGTTAGAGCTAGCAGGTTCTGCTGTGAGGGGAAGGAGTTTGTGTTGGGTAGTGCTGCTCATGGGATTGCAACAGAAAAAAGGCAGCAGACTTTAATAAACTGCTGATGCTTGCTACCATCTACAGTGTTAATCTTTTGAGCCTGCTGTCAATCAAGGGAAGATTTTAGATAACCAGGGACTGATGCTGATGCCATTGATATAACCACCATCAAATTGGTGTCCTGCTTTAGGGGTGAGTGACAACAAATGGTGCCTCTGTGAGGAGGGACTGATGACAATAATGATCTCTGGAGAGTGTGTCCCAGGATAAACAAGATCTTTCAAAAGCAACATGAGTCTATTATCAAACAGGTAATAAGAAGGTTTTCAAAAATATGATCATTGTTGCCCACATTCAGAACATCCAGGTAGACTCTCTGCATGCTTTTGAGCTTTTAATCTAACACAGAAGAGATATCTATCAGTCTACTATTTGTTGTATATATGGCTCCTAAGAAGATCACACATGAACTGCCTTAGCTTTTTAACATTTTTAAAATTGTCTGTTGGCAGTTGAACAATTTCTGTTGCACCCTGAGTTTTGCTATAAACCCTTTCTCAAAAAATGTTTTTTCACCAGTAGCTATAGACAAAGTAGCTGTCTTACTCAACATTATATATTCCAACTCACTGAATCACAGTGAGATACATATTTTTATTTTTCTCTAAGTATGTGTTAGACTACAGAATTTTTTTCACATGACTCATAGTATCAGCTGAAGGAGTGTTAGTGTAACAGAAGAAAGTGTCTCAAATTTTTACTTAAATTTTAGATACTTCTAGGCGATAAAGAAAAAAATATCAATGAAATTAGAAGGAAAAAAAATATAAGGCAAAGGTAGTCAAGAAGCAAAAGAAGAAAAAACTTTAGAATAAATCCTGCAGGCAAAGCTAAGATTCCCTGAAAATATTCATGCCAAACCAACTTGTCAGTAGAAAGAGAGCTATTTACAGGCACAAGAAACCTAAGAATGGTGAGGTGAATGTTAATAGGAAGTGACTTTCCCTGCCATTATTGATCATGCTAATGGCTCTGAATATTGCTCTTCAGGCTGATGCATGGTGCGTGAAAAGGGGATGGTGAGTCCTAATGCAGCCAGCAGATGAGACATCCCCCATTCCTTGAGGTGCTTTAGTATGTATTTTCTAATTTTACAGTAAAATTCATCTTTCACAGGGACTAAAATGAGTAAAAGGATTTCTAATATTTGCATCTGCTTCTCTGTCATTGTCTCATAGATTAAATCAAATCTACTACCTAGTGAACAAGGTCATTTTTTGCCAGTTTAGTGCCACATTACATTAAATTCAACAAACATATTACAGCAGTTTTCTGATGTAGTACTAGCTGTATCAGAGGTTCACAGCTAAACTTTCACTTTTAACAATGAGTTCAAAGGGTACTGGTCAAATATTGCTTCTGGTCTTAACTTGGCACATGAAAGACACCATCTGGCTGCATTTTAACCAGGCATTGAAATAATAATTTAAATAGTTATAGATATGGCTCTAATAATGACTAAAATTTATTGTTTCCAGGTTCTTTTTTCTTCTAAAGCTATTTTTACTTACAGTAACTAGGCTTTAATGCAAATATCATATTTAGGGCAAACTATATATTATGTTATATCAGGTTTTTGAGCTGCTGGAGCATATCCAAACAAGAAAAAAAAAGTTGGTGAAATGTCTTATAAGGTGTGGCTGAGAGAGCTGGAGCTGTTCACTCTGGAGGAAAGAAGGCTCAGGGAGGACCTCACCTCAGCACTGCCTGAAAGCAGACTTCAGGAGATGGAGGTTGGGTAGTTCCCCCAAGCAACAAGTGACAAGTCAAAAAGATGTGGCCTTCAGTTGCACCAGGGAAGGTTTAGGCTGGATGTTAGGAAAAACTTCTTCATCAAAAGGGTTGTCAAGCTTTGGAACAGGCAATCCAAAAACTGGTGGGTGGAGACACCATCACTGGAGGTATTTCAAAGAAGGATGAATGTGGCACTTAGGGACATGGTTTAGTGATGGTGTTAGCTGTGCTGGGTTAACTATTAGACCTGAGGATCTGAAATAGTTTTTCAGTCTAAATGGCTATGCAATTCTATTTGGACAAAATTCCTAGTCTTCAATTATTTTTTTTTTGTGCTGTTCCACCTTTTTTACAGATGGTATGCATCTATGGCTACCAATTGATTTTGATTAGAGAATTTGAAGCTCTTGCTAATTACATGTAAAATGAATCTGGGGTAACTTGAGAAGATCATTCTTGGTGACAAGAGCAAAGGATCATTACACAGTGATGCTTTCAAGGGGACATGGAAGTTATGAACTTTTTTCAGGAAGGTCTGATTATGTTTGTTTCTGGATGATGATCCACACAAGATATTTTACTTTTAATCAATAATTCCCTGTGGTTTTGACTCTTTTTTTCCCTACAGATTTTAACACAGAGAATTTGAACTTTAATTGCAACTAGATTAGTTTAAAGAATTAAATAGTGTTTACCTGACCTCACAAATCCATTCCTTAGCTGGTTTTGCTTCACTAATAGATTTGAAATACTGTGGATTTCAGTGAAGAAGTTATCTATTTAATCTATATATATCTGTGTGCATAAACAAATTTACCTTCTCCATATACCCCTGAGTCAGTTTATACAATATATGTAATATACATATACTTGTGCATGCATATATATTATTTAGATGTGATTGTGTATCTATAGAGATATTTTAACTTTCATTAAATTTGATTGAGTAAAAATGTTATTAACTGCATCCATTATTTCAATTCAAATAGAAAATGCAGTGCAAAACCATAATTCCCTTTAAGTAGGGCAGAACACATGTTGTGAGTTAGAAATATCAAAATGATGGGCTTCACATTTGTTTGTTCACTGTGCCATTGTTTTCTGCTTTTTTTTAATCTTTGTCAGTCTTTCTGTCTGAGTGTGACATGATGGGGTACAGAAAAATCATGTAATTATTTTTTATATTAGTTTTATTTTATTATAAGAAAGGAGGGCTTTTTTAAATTCATTCTTATATTTATTTTTGTAAGACAATTGTGATGGTTTATATATATTTTGTTTATAATCAATTAAAAATATATGATAGCCCCAGATAGAAATGTGTAAAAGAAAAAAGAGGTTGTTTTATTCTCCCATTATTATTTTACGAAATAATTATGAATCTTCAATTAACACATAGTTAAATAATTTTTTTATATCAAATTGTGTCACGATCAGAAAATTCAACCTTAGGAACGCACAGTCCAAATAAAATAAGAATTTTATCACAGTAGCTGAGTTTTGTCATAGTACTGTGGTTTGAAATGGATATCACACTGAACCAACTTCATCGTATTTAACCCCACATGAAACAAAGCAGTTCTTCTATTAGCTATTTGAGATTCTATTAGCTCCCTTGACTTCAGTAGGAGCTGACTGCATCCCAGTGAAGTAATTATCCTCACTCAGCTAAAAGAACAGAAGCAACTGACTGGGGAGAGGTGCTGCAGCAGAGGCTCAGCGCTACTCACACAGCAGGAGTGGGGATGAAAGGCACCAGGCACCATCACAGGAGCCACTCAACCACCAGGTCAAGATAAGAAAAGAAAAGCTGTTGGCAGTAATTCCACCTTTCCCTGAGGAATAAAAAAAGCAGCCCTAGATAGCTTTCAGGAAGGATGACAGAAACTTGAAGACTGTAGAACACCTGCACTTAAACTACAAAGAAAAGGAAAAGCTCAATATGTGTTCAAACCAAGGGATAATATACTGCCTCAGGGTATTGTGCTTGTAAACTGCACAATAATGCTGCTGGTATGCACATATGTTATTTTAAATGCAGCATGAAAAAAATGCTGAAAATGAGAAAGTCATGCTGTATATTTTAAGGGAGAACTATAATCTCTATAGAAGTTTCTACAGAAAAAAAAAAGTGCTTTGTTTTCATGCCTAAAGGATTTATTTTTATGCATTCTGAAGAAAATGTTGTGATATACCATAAAGAAAATTTACAGTTAAATCTGTAGGTATTGATAATTTCTCTTTAGGATACATCAATCTTAAAACATATTGAATAAATAGTATGGTAAATTTTATTATGAGTTAATAAAATCTCCTTTATCTAGTGAGGAGTAAAACAAAGTAAAGAAACTTAAGACTGGCTAGAATAAAACTAGTTACACAGAATTTTACACAAAAAATGATAGTGATGCCAGAATGATTGCAAAAGGAAATGCCATGTCCTGCCCCTGAGGAGGAATGACTTCTTGCTCCAGTAAAAGCTGGAGCTGTCTGGAAAAGAGCTCTGCAGAGAGGAAGGAACCTTTGCATGTTGGTGGACAATAAGTTGAACATAAGCCAGAAATGTTCCTTCCTGGGAAAGACAGCTAAATTCCTCCCTGGCTACCACAGGCACAGTGTTCCCAGCAGACTGACAAAAATGATCCTTCCCCTCTTGCTTAGCCCCAGGAATGCACATCTGGACTGCTGTGTTTAATGCTGGGCTCCCCAGTGTAGGTAGTGTGTGCAGCTAAGGTCTACAAGGATGATAAAGGACTCGGGGCATCTGTCAGGGGAGCCAGGCTGAAACAGTGGGGTTGTTCAGCTTGGGAAGAGAAGACACAAGGAGAACTTAGAAATGTGTAAACATACCTGCCAGGAGGGAATAAAAATGCATATGCCCCTACTAGGGATTAGACTACCTTTGGGATACAGCTGAAAATGACTGACAGGTTGTTTCCTCTATAAAAGAATACATTTAGCTTGCAACAAAACCACTCTGCAAGTTGAACCCCTGGAAATCACAAATGGATTTATGCGAAAACTAAAATACAGTTCCAAATTTTATAAAATAATGTAAATGCATTTTTATCTTGCTTGGTTTATACTGTGATGCAGGGTGAACATGAACATTTAATAATCATTGGAAAATGCAGAACACAGAGCTCATTTGTTGCAGAAAATTTGTCACTGCCAGAAAAAGGCATCAGTATGGAACAATACAAAATTATCTGAGAAAAACCTTAGCTGAAAAACAACAAATGTGACACTTTCACCAAGGAAAATCAGACAAAATATCACTCTTCATATGGGATGACAGAACTGGAGCACATGTGCACTCAATGTGTGATACAAAGATGACTAAGCTGTCAGCAAGCTAGAACTAAATACCCAAAGCATGGCTTCTTGCTGAGAATGATCTAACTTTGAGTCAAAACTATCCTGCCAATCACTGAAATATTACCAATGATTAATTACCTGACTAATTACTTGAGAACATGTAGCTAGTCCACAGCCAAAAGCAAGGAAGCCTATTCCTTCCTCACATTTGTCCTTTCTCAGTCCATGACGGTGCCTTACAAATGTAGTGTATTCCCTGACTCCACGGAGGACGGATGGGAAGTCCACCTGCTGCTCCCATATCTTCCTGCCTGTCTACCCCACTCTGCTGAGGTGCACATTACTGGACTGTGTGCATTTACCTAGGACATGAAGGTGATATCCATTGAGAGACCACCAGCTATTCACCAGTCTTCACAGAAGTAATTGTGAACGCTGTTTATTTCTATCTTTAGCACACCTTTTATAGGGTTCGACAGGGTCTGCGGGCAGAGCAAGCTACTATTGGCTAAGACACACAGTTTACATTTTTTCACCTACACACAAGGATATTGTTTTGCTTTACTCTCTCTTCTGCATGAAGGTTTCAAGGACTTTAGCCTTTAATATCATGACTTATTTCAAAGGCTGGTTTGTGCAGACAGGCCTTTACTAATATATAAAATATATCAACAGATATCTGATGCAAAGCTGGGCTGAGGATAAGGGTTGGATAAAAAACAGAAGTAATTCTGCTATTACAGTGATTCCACCGCCATCGCCAATCTGCTGTCAAAGGCAATGCAATATAGAAATGCCAGGGATGTTGTTGAACACCTTCTGGATTTCTGAGCTCAGTGTGTGCTGAATACTGCTGATGGTTCATTACACCCAGACACTGTGGGCAAAACAACTTACCTTAAAATGAGTTCATACACCTTTTCCAGTTCCCAGGCTGTTGTATCTTGTAGTTCAGACTATAAACGACTTTGTGGCAGCAGCTATCTTTTATTATATTTCTGTGAAATGCTAAACACAGTGGAGTCTCAAGCATTTAGGAGTTCAGCAATGAAAAGTAGAAGTTAATACACATTCTTTTATTTCACTTTTTCTTCCAACAGCCTTTTCCAAAAATACAGTAAGATTAAAAACTACAAAAGGAAATATCTGTCAAGTGCTTAAAACATCTTTATGTGACCAAAGCTGAAGTGACAGTTTGATGCAGAAGGTCCTGAAGGTGCTTCTGTATGATCATTGCAATAGTGCATTTTTTTCTGATTGCTGACACCTCTGTCTCCCTGTCCTAGTCTCTCCTGCAGTCTCAAGAATGACAGAAGATTCACTGGCAACAGCAGCTGGAGAAGCTGAAGGGTCTGTATGATGTTTCATTTATACTCTTAATAAAAGCATTGCTCTGGTGGGTTGACTTTGGCTAGATGCCAGCTGCCTACCAAGCTTCTCTATCATGCCCCTCCTCAGCAGGACAGGATGGAAGAAATAAGATAAAAAACCTCATGGTTCAAAGTAAAGGCAATTTAATAAAGTGGAAGCAAAATTTGCACATGCAGAATTTAACAAATTTAATTTAATACGAAAACAATAGATTTAAATTCTACTTCCATTAACAGGTGGTGTCAGTCTGCTTCCCAGGAAGTAGGTTTTCAGTATGCATAGTGGTTTCTCCAGAAGACAAACATAAATAATGAATGCTCCTACCCTTCCTCCTTCTTTCTCTTAGTTTTAACGTCTGAGCAGATGTAATATGAAATGGAATATCCTTTTGGTCAGTTTGAGTCAACTGTACTGCTTATGTACCCTCCCAAAATCCTGTCCACACCCAACCTATTGGTAAGGGGGGAACATTGGGGAGAGAGCCCTGATGCTGCTGAGCACTGCCCAGCAGTTGTGAGAGCACTGGTATCTTATTTGCTCCTTTCTAGCTCTCAAAGCACAGCACTATGAGGGCTGTTGTGAGGAATGTTATCTCAGCCAGACCAAGTACAACTGCTTAGTCAATGTTCTCCTTTTTAAACTCCAATTTTAACTCAAAAAGTTTTAAAACACTACCAATTGTAGAGAAATAACCCCATAAAATCTTTTGATCATATTTAGGAGCTACTCAAGCTTACTACAAAGCCTGAGTTGTCATGTGTGGGTGGATGTCTTTTTGTGCTGGTCAAGAAGTACAGTGTGCTTGAAAGGCTAAACCATCGATAAATTTGGATTCACAGACATAGGTTTCTCTGGAATACTGAGAAGAAAAGAGGAAACATGAAAAAAATATAAAAACAGCTCCCCCCTGAAACGATAGGAAATTAGTAATAATATAGAGATAACACAGGCAGGATATGCAGGAAGCCCATCTTAATACAAATTATTTGAATTATTTGTGCTATAATCTTAAACCTACTTATCTCAAAATCTGGAGAAAATTTCTGTATATATACTTAATACAACTATAAATTCAACCAAATCTGAAGGTAATATCTTTGGTTATTTAATTCCTAACTAAATCAGAGAA